CTCTTCCTGGAAGAGTACTGACACTGATGTTTTCAATCTTTTCATCTAGGAAATGGGTATCTTTTTGGTATCCACCTGACCTAAGAGTCAGTACACATCTGACATAAGTAATTACATAGCATATAATTAATGGAAAGTCTCTAAAAGTACATGTGAGCTGTAAAAGTTTCTCCCACTATGATTATCTATTAAAAATAAAAGAAAAAGAATATCTTGTGTTTTCTCTGCTCTTCATACATAAAAACCATGCTTTGGTACTGGCATAAAAACAGATACATAGACCAATGGAACAGAATAGACAACGCAGAAATAAATACATGTATTTATAGCCAACTGATTTTTGACAAAAGCATCTGGAACATTTGGTGGGGAAAGGACAGCCAATACAATAAATAGTGCTGTGAAGACTGGATATCTATATTCAGAAAAATAAAACTAACCCCTATCTCTTACCATACACAAAAAAGAAATCAAAATGGATTAAAGACTTAAATATAAGACCTGAAAGTATGAAATTACTAGAAGAAAACATAGGGAAAATGCTTCAGAACATTGGTCTGCGCAAAAAATTTTATGAATAAGACTCAAAAGCACAAGCAACAAAACCAAAAATAGACAAATGGGATTACATCAAACTAAAAAGATTCTACACAGCAAAGGACGTAATCAACAGAGCACAGAGACAACTTACAGAATGGAAGAATATATCTGCAAACTATTCATCTGACAAGGGATTAATATCCAGAATATATAAGGAACTCAATTCTGTGAAAAATCTAAATAGATATCGCTGAAAAGATGACACACATTTGGCCAACAAGTATATGAAAATGCTCAACATGACTAATCATCAGGTAAAGCAAATCGAAACCACAACGAGCTACCATCTCACTTTAGTTAAGATGACTGTTATCAAAAAGACAAAAAATAAATGCCAGAGAAGGTACAGAGAAAGGCAAACTCTTATGTACTGTAGGTGGGAATGTAAATTAGTACAGCCGTTATGAAACACAACAACAACAACATAGATGTTCTTCAAGAAACTGAAACTAGAACTACCATTGTATCAGCCAAGGTTTTCTAAAGGGACAGAACTAATAGGATAGATGAATATCTGAAGGTGAGTTTATTAGGAGAATTAACTCACATAATCACAAGATGAAGTCCCACCATATGCTGTCTTCAAGTTGAGGAGCAAAAAAGCCAGTCCAAGTCCCCAAACCCCAAAGTAGGGAAGCCAACAGTGCAGCCTTCAGTCTGTGGCCAAAGGCCTGAGACCGCCAGCAAATCACTGGTAAGTCCAAGAGTCGAAAACCTGAAGAACTTGGAGTCTGATGTTCGAAGGCAGGAAGCATCCAGCACGGGAGAAAGATGAAGACCAGAAAACTCAGTGAGTCTGCTCATTCCACCTTCTGTCTGCTTTATTTTAGCTGCACATGCAGCTGATTAGATGGTGCCCACCCAGACTGAGGGTGAGGCTGCCTCTCCCAGTCCCTTGACTCAAATGTTAATCTCCTTTGGCAACACCCTCACAGACACACCCAGGAACATTACTTTGCATCCTTCAATCCAATCAAGTTGACACAATATCAACCGTCACAACCATATTATCCAGCAATCCCACTACTGGCTATACATCCAAAGAAAATGAAATCAGGATGTCAAAGAGATATATCCACTCTCATTTTTTAATTTTGTTTTGTTTTGGTTTGGTTTTTTGTTCTTTTGCAGCACTTTCCACAAATAGCCAAGATACCAAGTTAACTTTGTCTATCAGCAGATGAATGAATAAAGAAAATATGGTACATATCCACAATGGAGTACTATTCAGCCATAAAAAAGAATTAAAATCTTGTCATTCACAGCAGCATAGAAAGCCTGGACGACGTTATGTTAAGTAAAATAAGTCAGGCACAGAGAAATAAAATACCACCACTTCTCACTCGTATGTGAAAACTAAAGAAGTTAATCTCCTAGAAGAGGGTGAATATTGAAAGCTGGGAAGTGAGAGGGGAAGAGTTAGAGGGAGAGGTTGGTTAAAGTATACAAAATGTCAGCTAGCCAGGAGGAACACATTCTAGCATTCTATAGAACTTTACAGTGACTATAGTTAACGACTTACCATATATTTTTAAATAGCTAGAAAAAAGAAGTTTGAATTTTCTTAACACAAATAAATGATAAATGTTCAAGGTGACAAATTTGTTAATTACACTGATTTGATCACTACAATAACTTAAAAAAATAAAAACATGCATACTTTTTCATGTATTTCTACAAAGAGAGTTCCACGTCAGTTTTATGATTGCTACTTACCATAAGAATTAACTAACAAAAAGCTATGTGGAAGATTTTTTTTTCCTCGAGAATCAGAAGCGATCATGAAACAGGGCCAGAAATCTTCCTTTAATGAAATGGAGAGTCTAATCCACTCCATTTTGTAAAGATGTTAAATCAGAGAAAGCAATTAAATGGGTTCCCATATCAATAAAATGCAATTCTTTATGTTGTTATTATGTAAAACAGTAAGCCAGGCTCTCTGAAGAAGACAGCGTCTAGTCTGATTGTGTTTTTCATGAGCACCTTACAGTCTATTTCATACGCAGTTAGTGAATAAACAGGTCTGTTTATGAAAAAATCTGTTCATGATACCAGTAGATTGCATCTGAGGCATTTTCAGTGGTAAAACAATTTGCACTGCAGATATATGTTTATGGGAAATTAGTGGAATGGTAGAGCTTAATGCATAGAAGTGGAGAATTAATGTAAAATAAGTAGGGGTACTCAAGCCACACTTTCTAGTAATCCTTTTAAATCTGTATTTCATCCAGAAAGCTTTTTATTTTAAACCCAATTTAAAAAGTCAATAATTATTAAATATGCAGAGACATTTGTATGCTTCCTGCTTTGTAGCATTTTATTTGACATGCTTCCAAATTAGGCTATTAGTGTTTTGGTTGTTTGTTTGTTTGTTGCCTCTATAGGGATCTGGGTGATGTTGAAATCTATTACACCGGACTCCCAAATGATAGTGCTTTTCCTGCACTCATAGAGAGGTTGTGTGACACCATAACCAACCCTATTCCTTGACTGGGCCCTTGAGGAACTAAATGAAGAGCTAACTCTTTGCTGCCAGGGTTTTCCATTCCAGAATTCCACCGTCACTGCCCTGGTCCCTCCTACCATCTGGCCCAGTCATTAAACTCATGCCTGCCCTTTCCAGGATATTTATTTCCTGTTCTCTTCTCTGCTAGGAGAGCCCCGCATGTGGGCTGCAGTCTTCCTCACTGCTTCCTCTTGGATGGATTTCATTTTGCCTGCTTTCCACCTTGACATTTTGACAAACCAGCAATGGCCCAGAATTGTTCTTATGCTCTTTTCCCTGAGCTCAAGCCCACCCCTGTGATTGACAGGACTGGCTTTTAGCTTGGCAAGGTGATCCTTTTTTAAGGGCATGACCAGAGGGAGCACATAATGACCTCACTCTGGCCAGGACATGGCCGGGTACAGAATATAACCCCTTGGTGTTTGGCCTCCTGAGTCACTCATTCATTACACAAAGTCTTTATCTTTGTGCATATCCTGGAACAATACTCTTAAATAAATACTCTCGGAGGCATTTTACTCCATGGTTATTTACTTTGCATTTCCATGATCTCAATGGAACACAGAAAGGGAGGAGGTAGAAGGCTTGGCAAACAATCATTTGCCACCATCTACGCACAAGGGGACAAGTGCGAGGGATATTGTTTTGTTTAAAAGAGAGACACGTCATTGACTTGACATAATCCATCTGTGTTCAGACCAGAGTGGATTAGAAACTTCCACTTGGCACAGCATGCTAGATAACCTCTATCTTGAGAGAACAGAGGCAATTTGGGTTTGGAGTTAAAAGTCCTGGTTTTAATTCCCAACTTATCCCCTTAGCCTTGAGACCTTGGGCAAGTCCTCGAACTTTTCTGAGTCTCAGTTACATTCCACCATCAAGAAATAATAATGGGCCTCCCATCTACTCCTTCAAATTGCTTTGAGTTAAAATGAGAATCTGTGCCCTGAATGCTAAAGTGTGAAAAATCTGAAGAAAAAAATATAAAGCCATGAATTAGCAGCCTGCTCTTAAAATGATTATTAATATTGGTCATTATTACTAGCTTCAGCATCATCATATATGATTATTTGATTTTTAAATAAAACCTGATTAGATTAAAATTTACTTTGAAAGGATGTTAAACTCACAAATAAAAATGCATTGGGCTATTAAAATTTTAGACCCACCGACATTTATCGGTGAGATCTTACCTGCTCCTTTTATCTACCTCTTCCTCCTATTTATCCTTCTCAATTCACTATGAACAGAAAGATTTATTTGCCCTCAACAAACAAATACAGATTCCCATGAAAACCTGCCAAAAGGAAAACCAAAAGAGGAAGAGGATATAAGATTTCTCAAGGTTCACTATGTTTATTTCCAGTTAAGCCAACCTGACTCCATTCGTGCCCTGAGACAGCATGTGCTTATTTTTACAACAATCGCCAGTCCATAGGCCATCCCAGAGGGCTGCTGGATGTCTTCCCAGGAACCCAGTGGAGGGGGAATCTGTTTTCTACTTCATTTTCAGAAAGTGGGGAGGATCCAGCCATTGGCTGCCCCCAGAATCTTTCTGGACTGACCCATGACTGGCACAGGTTGGAGACAGTCACACAAGTTCAGTCATAACCAGGCTTCTCAAAATCTGACAGTGAATGAGAGTTACACACCTGGCCACTTTCTAGGTATTGGTACCCACCCCTTTCCCTTTACTCACATAGGTAGACAACTACATGGTGTAAGATGTTGATGTGGTTTAGCTCTGTGTCCCCAGTCAAATCTCATCTCAAATTGTAATCCCCATGAGTTGACGGAGGGACCTGGTGGGAGGTGACTGCACCACGGGGGTGGTTTCCTCCATGCTGTTCTCATGACAGTGAGTGAGTTCTCATGAGATCTGATGGCTTAAAACTGGCACTTCCCACTTTTCTCTTTCTCTCCCCTCCCTCCATGCCAGATGAACACCAGCAATAGCTCTGCGAGGAGTGTGCTTCCCCTTCAGCCATGACTGTGAGTTTCCTGAGGCCTCCCCAGCCACGCGGAACTGTGAGTCAATTAAACCTCTTTTCTTTATAAATTACTTAGTCTCAGGTAGTCCTTCCTATCAGTGTGAAAATGGACTAATATAGCTGTCTTTTAAAAACTACAAACATAGGAGCTCAAATGCTTTCAACCTAATGCAACAAAGGCAATGTAATCACCTTTACATGCCTTTAATTCAGTTGTCCTTCCACTGTTCAAAACATCCTTGGAACTCATTTTTTAAAAATTATCTTCAGAGAATGTAGCACTCTTCTGGATATCCTGAATGAATGAAGTTATCAAACTTTTAGTGTAAGTATGATTTTTGAAAGCAGTTAAAGACCTTGATGCTAGGTTTAGTAAATGTGGTCAGGTCTAAAGCTAAATACAATTTGTTTATAGTGTTAAAGGAAGTGCAATCATGAAGTCAAGGGATATTTTTGGAAGTGATTATAAAAATGGCTCTGAATGGAGCTAGACTTTATTGATAGCAGCATTCTCAGGGATAACTGAATGGCTTCCCAAAGTAAACTTTTGAGGGGGCCAAAAATTTACCTCTGTTACTTTACTCTGTAGTTACCACACATTTTATGAGATGATGACACTTATCCTTTCCATAATAGATACTGGTAAAATAGCCTCTTCCCCATTGCAACCTCTACCACCACCAAGTTCACAATATGCATAGAAATAGTATGGGGTTGCCGAGGAAAGAAAGGAGACAAGTTCATGCCCAAGTAGAGCAACTTCTTACACCTCTAGTGGAGAAATGATAAGGCTTCTGAGACCTTCATGAAGAAGGGATGGAGCCCAGAAACTTCTTTCTGCAGTGCACCCTAGTTCCACCCACTGGACTCCCACAGTGGATCAGAACACTCCTCGAAGAGCTATTGCTGGTGCCCATCTGGCATGCTGATTAAAAAGCAATATGTATGCCATGATGTCTTTGGAACCATTGCCTGATGTGGAAGGGAATTGTGTCAATAAATCAAGATAACAGTTAATTCAAGTAATAAATGCTTTTATGGTTGAATATTGCATTATTTGTTTTTAAGTATGGCTGATATCTATTATAATGACATTTTCCTTTTCTATTCCATTTCATTATGATTGACAGTATTTATCTGAAATATTGATGGGGCCCTGATAGCCACATTCAAAAACATAGTCAAGGTCTGTCACGGGGCATCCCATCTAAGACAGAGCCCTCGGGGACAAGCCACAAGGGCACATACTGAAACAAAACCCTGGGGAATGCCTGAGCTAATATCAAATCGTAAGACAAGAAGCAAACTTATGTTGTGTGACATTTGATGGGGGCATCTTGAGAGGCAATGGTAGGGTCTTGAGGTTGCTGTTTAGACAGTATGGAAATGGATAAGAAATCATTGCCTCAGATTTGGTTGATAGCCAATAAAAGCTTAGGGATTAGCAAAAAGTTAGGAACTATTGAAAATAATGAAAAGCTAGGTTCTTGCCTTTACCATCTCTATACAAAAGAATTAATTTAATTTAGTACAATCCTATGAGGTCCCTCCCATCAACTATGATCATGAGCAAGGAAATAGTTAAAATGGAACCATGTGTTGTTTCACCTAAAGAAAAAGGCTTGAGTTTTTGGTAACTGTTCTACCCGCAAAACAGTAAAGTTATAGATACCTATAGCGTTAATGATGGCAGGGAGGAGATGATATTATGTCAGTGACAGCGAGCCAAGCCCCATCTAAAAGAAAGGTGAGCTGGGAGTTTCACTTAAAAAGCCTACCTAAATTGACAGCTCTCACAGAATGCACTGGAGTTTGGGGGTAAAGATAGAATCTTCCCTCAGGTTTGAAAAACAAGCTCTTATTCACATTTTCTATTTTCCCATTGACATGAAAATTGCCTAAGAAAAGTAGAAGAGATCCCAGGGGCACACTGCTTTTCAACTTGAATCTTTGCCTTCCCTTCTTATTTTTTACTTACAGTGTGTACATGTGTGTATGCGTGCACTTGGGTATGTGTGTGTACACGTGTGTGTGGGGGGGTGGGGTGGAGATTGTCCATGGAGATTTTCTCTTAAAGGAAAGCCTATTTCCCTCAGCAGTAGGAAAATTGAAGCCTGCACCCTCCTAATACCAGACCTACTCTTTTACTTAAAACATAGAAGACTTATCTTTTGAAATGGGGTAGCCACTTAAAGAACAGATAAATTCCCTGTGATATTTACTCCCAGAAAGAAAAAAAAAAAAGTATAAAGAATTATTTTAATACCTGGCTCACTGAGATTTTGGAATGAGCCTAAGGCTGTTTCAGAGAAAAGTCTGTGTATTCAGGTTGCAAGGAGAACTGTGTGTGTCAGTTTATTTGGAAAGGCAAATTATATTTTATGTACTTGGAGTTATTCAGTGTGCAAAATGCTATAAAAGCCTATTGTATTCATACTTGCTTGTTATACCCACATTTCATTAAACCTCACATACATTATTACCCATAGTTCACACTCTAGACTGCCAAGGGGTTACCACTCATTTCCTAATATACCAAAGATACCAAAAGAGATATGAGGGGCAGAGGTAACCCTATTTTTCAACTACTATGACATCTTTAAGTATTTAAACTACTATAATATATTTAAGTATTTAGGGGGTGTGATGATTAATGTTGTGCCTCAACTTGACTGGGCCATGGGGTGCCCAGATGTTTGATCGGACATTCCTCTGGGTGTTTGTCTGCCAGGGTGTTATTGGAAGAAACCTGCATTCGCGTCAGGAGACTGAATACGGTAGATTGCCCTCCCTAATGTGGGTTGGCCTTCTTCAATCAGTTGGCAACCTGGATAGAACAAAATGGCGGAGTAAGAGAGAGCTCCTCCTGCCTGACTGCTGAGTTGGGACATCAGTCATTTCTGAACTTCAGACTAGGACTGAAATATCCACTTTTGTTGGGTCTCGAGCCTGCCGGCTTTCAGACTGGACCTTACACCAGTGGCTCCCCTGTTCTCAAGTTTTCAGACTTGCACTGGAACCACATGTGGTCTCTCCTGTTCTGCCAATTGCAGAACTTCAGGCCTCTTGGGCTCCATATCACATGAGTTAATTCCCAATAATAAATATGTGTGTGTGCATGTGTGTATGTGTGTGTGTTTGTGTGTGTCTTGTTAGTTCTGGTTCTCTGGAGAACCCTAACATAGGAGGTAAGGGGTACAACTAAGGTACATTTCCTTAGTTATAAAATGAAAAAAATAAGCTAAACCATAGAATTATTTTGATTCTTACACGAGATGTTACATTCCTTGTTAGATACTTGTATTAGTCTATTCTCACATTGCTATAAAGAAATACCTGAGACTGGGTAATTCACAAAGGAAGGAGGTTTAATTGTCCCACCATTCTGCAGGCTGTACAGGAAGCATGGTGCTGGCATCTGGTCAGCTTCTTGGGAGGCCTCAGGATCTTACAATCATGGCAGAAGATAAAGAGGAAACAGGCACATCACATGGCCAGAGCAGGAGCAAGAAAGAGAGAGGGAAGTGCCACACATATTTAAACAGCCAGATCTCATGAGGACTCACTGTACAGTACCAAAGAAGGATGGTGCTAAACCATTCATGAAAATCTGCCCCCATGATGCAGTCACCTCCCACCAGACCCCACCTCCAACACTGGGTATTTAATTGAACATGAGATTTGGGTGAGGACACAGATCCAGACCATATCAGTACTCCACACTGTATTAGGTATAAAGAAACCTAACCAGTGGTTCCACCACCACCTTCTCCCAACACCACATGTTCATCACCACAAACTTTCTTTCTGTCCCTAGATCTGCCACCCACCAAAGGAACAGCAGTACAATCTTCACTCAGTATTTGCAGAGAATTGGTTTCAGGAGTCCCAAAGATACCAAAAATCCACTGATGCTCAAATCAATTAAATAAAATCATGTAGTATTTACATATAACCTACTGCACATTCTCTCATATACTTTAAATCATCTCTAGATTATTTATAATACCTAATAAAGGTAAAGGCTATGCAAATATTTGTTGAGGTGTATTATTTGTATCAATTTTCATTGTTGTACTTTTTATTTTTTAATTGTTTTTCTTGAATTTTTCAATCTATGGTTGTTGAATCTACAGATGCATAACTGTGCATATGGAAGGCTGACTGTATTCAGAATATTAAGTAATGAGAGAAAACAGGATACCCTAATCAGTAGGGGACTTCTTAGCGAATGTCAGAGAGATACCAAAGAAAGGTTATCTTTTCGTGATTCTTGTTGATTCCATTTTTAATAATAAATCACGGTAGTATATACAAAGACCATTCATTCACACATACATGGTGTATCAGTCTAATACAGGATCATTTTCTTTCATTTTTCCAGAGCAGTTTTGAAACAGGCTTTTCCCAGTTCATAGCCCATGTGCAGGGTCACCATCAATGCTTCCCTGGGCTTGGCAGATGCTGGTTTTCTTCTGGGGATTTCCCATTCTTTTTCTGAACATTCTTTCTGGTAGTTCCAGATTGGGCATGGGGCAAGGGTTCCAATGAACATCAAAGCAATTTCAAGATCTCCTTAGTAAATATAGGTTATCATCAATACCAATGAGCTCTTATTTACAGGAGTATGTTCTTGTTTAAGGATGGAGTAATTACTTACAAAGAAGGCATGTAAGAAGAAAGCAAGGAAGAGCAGAACAGCTTGAAACAACAAAGCGGAGATGCAAAAGGTGTTTGGGGGTTGGGAGGGGTCAACTGGAAGATTAAATAAATTTTCTGGCTGGGTGTGGTGGCTCATGCCTATAATCCCAGCACTTTGGGAGGCCGAGGTAGGCAGATCACCTGAGGTTGGGAGTTGGAGACCTGGCCAGCGTGGTGAAACCCCATCTCTACTAAAAATACAAACATTAGCTGGGCGTGGTGGCGGGCACCTGTAATCTCAGCCACTTGGGAGGCTGAGGCAGGAGAATCACTTGAACCTGGGAGGCAGAGGTTGCAGTGAGCCCAGATAACGCCATTGCACTCCAGCCTAACCAACAAGAGCGAAACTCCATCTTAAAAATATAAATAAATTAGTTAAATAAATAAATATTCTGCTGCTGTAGAAGAAGGAGTGGTTGTTAACATGAGCCACTGCCTTTCACACTATGCCTTCTCTCCTTTATCAAATGTTCCTATGTCTACACATTGACAGCCAATTTGTATTTTAGTGCATTCAATTTAATGTCCCAATATGAATATCAATCATTAATATGCTACACTTCATTCTATAACCAAATCAACTGGGGTAAAAAAAAAAAAAAAAAGTCAATTTACTGCCAATAATATAAGGATCAGAGTCAAGGTTAGAACCCAAGAACTGCAAATAATGGCTGTCACCACTACCTAAAGGACATTCTTTATGCACCTGTACTACATTAGGGCTGTCAGGTGCCTCACCTGACAGGTATAGCCACACCTGTACCCAGAAATTAATCCGTGTCCAAGGTATCATTTTTCAGTGCCAGAATTAGTTGGTCTATAAGACTGAATGTGTGATGCCTACAGATCTCTCTCACCATAATGGTACTTGTGTCATTTATACGTGAAATATAAATACAAATGTGTGGCGTGGCTGGCATTGGTTTATTGATTTTGGATGGTTCCAGCTCCTTCGGAGGTCATTTCCTGAGTAATCCCATCTGGAAAAAGTAATTTGCCATTCACTAGTCACCACAGTTTGGATTGCTGTAATGACCTACTTGGGATAAAAGAAAAGGTCTTTCCATTTCTATTCAATATCTGGATTCCTTTCAACAATAATAGATACACACCTTTATTACCCTTTCCCAGCTGGCCAGCATCGAAGGTGACAAACATCCCAGCTGTCAGTGGTACAGACAAGATTCTCTCCCTCCCCAGATGAGCTCTTGTAAGCCTAATGCCATTTCCTCCCCTGACTCTTAGGTCTGTCTTGGGAGATGGCCATCAATGTGTCCTTCTAAAAATACAGAATTATTAACAGTTTGGTTTTGTGTCATTGATCCTTGGAGCAAGTGATGGAAATTATAGGTTAGTATTGACATGAATAAAATATTTTGGAATAACCTGAATAGTATGCTTTCCCCTGTCACATTCTTAGAGAAGTTAATAAAGAATCATGAAGATATTGCAACAATTGGAAGCAGACTTGGGGTTTGTTTTCAATAGTAAAAGATAAGTAGATGAAAATTGGAATTTATAACTCAAGCAGTATTTCCGAGCCTCAGCATGTGATGAGAGTACACCACATTCAATTGCTTAGAAGAGGCATAAAGGGAAGACGAGAGGGCTAACTATTGAAACATGAGAGGTTTGTTCTTGTTGTTTATGTGCATGTGTTTTTAAAAATAAATCTAAAGACTAAAAGCCAACATTTCAGGAGGTCTCCATTTGTTTAGAAACATTACCCATTTCTGCAGTGAGAACACATGCATAATTTATGGAAGTGCCAGAATGTCCAAATGTTTCTAACTGTCCCTTATAGCTGACTTTCTTCATGTACAGGATCTGACCTGGAATTTGTACCAAACATAATCTCATACCAGAACAGACCATACGCGTACCAAAAAACAAAAAAAAAAAAAAAAACAAACAAGAACTAAGCATAAATATTCATTCTAGGCTCATCTACAAACTGAACATAGGTAGATTGATGTGAATTTGTTCATTTTGTTTATTATACCTAATTAGACTGCTTAATTTTCCTATAAGCTACATCAGAATCTGTGTTTCATTTAGGCCAACCTCTCACCTGCTAATCACCTGGCGACATAAATTCAGACACACATAGCTGTGATTTTGAAAAGGAATCTGGGAAACTTCATGACATTTCAGGAGAGAAAAGCTTTCTTGATTTCTGTGTATAGCCAAGAATAATTTTAAAAGTATGCAAGCCACAGAATTCCAGAAGTATATTTTATGTTATCAGAAACTGATCTTCACATCATAGTTCATTAAACTGGTTGCATAGTTTACACACAGGTAAACCATCTTACCTCAAGACTGGAAAAATATCTGCACTAGAAGTAGAAGAAATTAAAAAACTGAACACATGAGTACCTCTTGAGTTAAGAATGCCAAAATATTGACATAAACATTCCAAAGCAGACAGGATCTCTATCGCGCTATCCTTTCTGAAACTACGTTTTCTCCCAAAGCCCTTATCAAATGCCCCTCCTCACATAAGCTCCCCACTCTAGGGGGTAATAGAGTCCTTCTAGGGCTTTGGTAATCCCTGATAGCCACAGAGGGAATCTGTGTATTTCATCCACACTAACTCCTTCCTTTTCTTTCAGAAAAATAATGAACAAAGCGTGGTTTCCCTTTGGATTGAAATGTGCCCTGTACATGCAAGCTGTGAGTCCTCGAGCAGGATGCAGAATCTTTCTCAGCCTCAGTTTCCTTTTCTGTACAACAAAGATGATATCTGTCTCATAGGATGATGGTGGTGACTAAGCTAGGTAGGATCTGCTCAAGACCTAACACATCCCGGGGTCTCTCTCCCGGCCCCTTTCCCAGCTAATTCCCCTCCTCCCAGCCTCACCAGGATCCAGGCACATCCTGGCAGCTCTGCCATCTTCCAGTTCCTAACTGTTCCTCAGCATGCATCCTCTTTCCTCTGTTTTCATTCCTCTTCTTAAGCATTCTTTTTTATTCTTCCTAGGCTCTTTTAAGTAAACCTTTAAGACTGAAGTATAACATAAATGCAGAAAAGATCACAAATTGCAAGTGCCCAGATAATTTTGGGGAACACACATCTGTGCAATCTGAATTCAACTCAAGAAGTCAATCACTGCCAGCACCCCAGAAGCCTCCCTTGCATACAGAACCCACACACCCAGAGCAAATCTCCATTCTGATTTATCTTACTGTAGATTAATTTTGCCTGGACTATATGACGCGTACTCTTTAGGGACTAGCTTTATTCATTCACCGTCATATCTGTGAAAGTCTCCCTTGCTGTTTGGTAATTTTACTGCTGCATAGCAGGGGTTAGCCAACACTTTCTTAAAGAGCCGTGTAGTAAGTATTGTGCCTTGCAGGCCGAAGGAGTCTCTCTGGCGGTGTAGCACAAAAAGCAGCCACAGACAATACATAAGGAAATGAACCTTGTCGTGCTCTAATACAAATGCATTTATGGACACTGAGATTTGACTTTTATATAACCTTCACATGGCATAAAATCTTCTACTTTCAAAAATTTTACATCTAAAATGTAAGAACCTTTTTTAGTTTGCAGGCTGTAAGAAGCAGGCGATGGGCCAGATTCGACCTACAGGATGGAGTTTGCAGACTCATGCTGCATAGTGTTCTTTCGCACGAATGTACCGTCGTTCATTTATGCATTCTACTCTTCGCAAATGTTTTCTTTCAAGTTTTGATACAAAAAAAAAAAGATTTCTATTAAAGCTGATACATATAAAAGCAGTGGCAGTGATAATCCCACATCTAAAAGAAAATGAACGCCATTAATTTTTAAGGAAAATTGGATATTTAAGGGAAAAATTTCTTTTTTTAGTCAACAGCTAATATTTTTAAAGATACATGTATTAATAAATCTCCTTTGGAAAATCCACAAAATTGCCTATCATTTCATTTTCCCATAATAAAATCTGCTTCATCTGCTTTATCTCAATATGAGTATTTCCCTCAAAAGTAGAGGAGGCAACGCTCTAATTCATTTTTGTTTCAACTTTGGGCATCGCAAAACCTTGTTCTGTTTCATGTGGTCATTGCATCTGTGTGGATTTTCAAATGTTTTACTAGCACAATGGGCTTGGATAGAGTGATTTGGGGTCTTATCACCCTCTAGTTCCAATAGTGTCTATTACACAGGCAATTTAAAAATTCAGGATTGCCTATAAAGATAGTTCATTTAACTTTCTTTAAAAAAAAAAAAAACTACTTCCCCTTAAACTCCAATAACTGATAAGGAGATAATACAGGCTATTGTGGAGGAAAGAACGTCTATGCAAACCCAATCCTGGCACTGTGAGGCGTGCTGCTGGTCTTGACAAACCTTGCTCTAATTAGGGGCATATCACAAACACTTCTGAAACTTTAGAAAAGGATTCGAGGTGGTATGTGATGAGGTACCAAGTGAGTCTAAGAGACGACCTGCACTCAAGAGCCCAGAGGTGGGAGACATCGGCACCGGAGTGTATAGGACGGAATGGACTGATGAGTGTCAGGGAGAAGGCTAGAACTGAGCTCTGCTTTTCAGAATGGACACGGGGGAGGAGCCTTGTAGATGAAAGGTCATCTTGAACAGAGGAGATAATATGAGCCAAAGAACAGGGTGCAGGAACAAAGCAAAGTGGACTTCCTTGTCAGAGGAAAACCCCATAGTGAGACCTAGGTAGAAGCTGGAGGTAGACTGCAGTCAGAGTTTGGTAGGTTAGGAAGACCGAAGAGTAAAGGATTGATAACAGCAACATTTTTAGGAATGATTGACCCCAAAGCCAGACTAGATGGAAAAAAAAAAAAAAAAGAAGGCAAATGTGTCAGTCTAAAAGCCAAGAAAATAAATAATCCGATGTGAAGTGATAAGATATGACAGCTATGAAAATAGAAACACACAGATGTGAGAAATATGGCAGTTCATGGAGAGGAGGAATCAAATATTCAACTCCATGTTGTTAAACGTGTATGAGTTGGAAAGTGTTGCTGTCATTGCCAGAAATAGGGAAATCTGGGGCGGGAGCTAATTTTAGTAGAAAAGGGAGTTTGGTTTTAACTGTATTAAACTTAAGCATGAATCCACAATGGTTCCACATTGGATCACAGCTTTTATTTTTCCAAAGGAAATGTTATAGTCTAAGGCAAAGGGAGGCAAACTACAGCCTGCAGGCCAATCCTGCTGGCTGAATGTTTTATAAATAAAGTTTTATTGGAGCACACCTTGCCCCTTCATGAACATGTGGCCTCTGGCTGCTTTTTCACTACAACAGCAGTATTGAGTGTTTGTGAGAGAGATCATAGCCCACAAGGCTAAAATATTTACTATCTGGCCATTTACGGAAAAAAAGCTGCAGATCTTTAGTTAAAGTTACAGAGGGATGAAACCAGCAGGAAAGATTTGAGGTTTTTGAAAAACGTCCTCAGACAAGACAAGACTTCCTGAGATGAAGTGTGTGGGATACCACAGAGCAGAGGACTGAACGGTCCTACTACGGCCAGCGTTTCAAAAAATGGGAAAAATCCTGGGATGAAACAGCTCGATCTGGCATGCTGCAGGCAACTGCCATCATGCAAGAAGAGAAAAGAACCCGAGGTCAAGAGAAGGCCTTACCAATGTGTGTCCTGGGAGCGCTATTTCCAGAGGGTGATATTCAGAATGTATACAGGTCCTGTCTCCTCCATGCAGGATTCCTGGAGAATTCCATGGCTGGAGACAAGGGCCGGCCGCCTCTCATAGGTGTGTTAGTGCTTGATGAAGTTGTACACATGGCAAAGAGAAGAGTCAGAGGGCAGCTTTGGGTGATCTTTTGCTAGAGAAACATGAGACGGGAGTGTGTGTCTGAAGAAGGGCTTATCTCCGGGGGCTGTGAATGGATCAAGGAGGCGGCAAACACAGGACTCGGATAAAACTCTGGAAAACACCCCTGAGTGTCACTTCCTGTCCTAATCAGTTTACCTAAAAAGTCCTCTTCTCCCCTCCTCCACCTTTCCCCAAGTGCCACTTAGCCTTCAGACTCTGCTTGCCTACACTTCTGCAGGAAGGGTTTCTCTGTCCCCAGGTGAGGTTAGGCCTTTCTAGCATAATAATAACTAACACTCAGAGATTACTTACTGTGTCTGGACCTGTTCTGGGAATTTCATGTGAATTCATTTAGTCTGGCCTTCCAATAATGCTGTGAAATGTTTACCGATAGTATACCCTTTCAACAGATAGGCAAACTGAGGCACAAAGAAGTTAGGCGATTGATCCATAGTCACAGATCTAGGAAGCAGTACAGCCAAGTTTCAAAAGGCCACATCCAAAACTCTCTGCATTTGTCTTTAGTACTTGTATAATGTCTGTCTTTGCTGCTAGACCTTAACCCCCATAAGAGTAAAGACTGCATCAGCTCTAGTCCTCATTGATCCCCAAGCACCTAGAACATTTCCTGGCACAAAGCAGATGCTCAGTGTAATGCAGAAAGATGTGTAGAGTGAATTGACAATACCTTGACATACTTAGGTAAGGAAAATCAAACCAAACAACAACAACAACAACAAAAAGTGTGGACCCATATGTCTATTGGCCAATACCCAATGCATAATTCATAATGTGAATTTAAGACTATAATTTAGGGTGGTATATGCAATCCTACAAATTACTTTGAGCTTTGACCTGGTGGGATTTATGATTAGAAAATGGTGGCAGAAGAGTTTGCACTGTTAAATAGAAGCAGGTTTCCCAAGTGTTATGAGTTGAATTGTGTCCCCCCAAAAGTAATGTTGAAACCTTTAAACTCCCAGCAGCTGTCAATATGACCTAAATGGAAACAGTATCTTTGCAGATGTAATCAGGTTAAGAAGAGGGCATTACAATGAGTCTGAACCCAACAGGACTGGTGTCCTTATAGGTAGAAGAGAGGGAGATGATAGAGAAGGGCAATGGCATGGGAGGGCAGAGGCAGAATTGGGGAGCTGCAGCTGCAAGCCCAGGAAGGGAGGAGGCAGGGAAGGACTCTAATCAGTCCCAGAGGGGCATGGCCCCCTTGGCACTCTGATTTGAGGCTCCTGGCCCCCAGAACCCAGTTCATGGTACTTATGGCAACCCTAGGAGACACAAGCACAGAGGGAGAAGATGGAGCTGTGGTTTTGGAAAACTCACAAGCTGGAGGGTTGAGCAAATTGGTCAGGATCTTGGTGAAGATGGATGGTTATTTTAACTTGGAAGAGAGTGCATCACAAATCACTTACTGGAAGAAGGAAAAGGGAAAGTTTGACGCAGTGATCCTGGTTTACCTGTAAACCACACAGAAGCAAGATGGAGGAATGACTGGAGACCAACTCCCCACCTGCCAGACTGAATCCAGAGTATTTAGCCAGTTACCGGCTCATCATGCTGATCATTTGTCTCTCAGGTTTTGGAAAAAGCATTGATGTTGACTGCTAGTTGATAAAGGGGAAGAAATAGGTTCTTTGGGCAGCAGCAACCAAGAAAACAAAGGCTTCCCAAAGTCACACATGCAACCGGGCACTATCAGGGCTGTTGGAAAGTTTCCAAGGACAGGGAGGCTGATCCCATGAAATGAGGCTGGACAGGAAGTCCTCCCAACGAGGTTCTCATGCAAATGAAGAAGAGTGGGAAGTGCCCGAAGACAGGAGGCTGCCTGCCAGCGACTCCATGGGCTTAAGCTGTTTGCAGTTCATGTGTGTAATTTTTAAAGCTAGACCTACCCCTGAAGATGAGTACAAGAGAGAAAGACAGGGCTCCAAAAATACTGCCACAGGCTTAAGTTCCAAAGTGCTGGAGTTACAAAAGGATAAAGGAAAACACAAAGGACTTTTTAGCCAAAGAAGAACCAGAAAGGTAAAACAGAAAGCAGGAAAGAGTGTGGGCTCTGGAGCTGGCCGTATCTGTGTTTGGATCTTGGCTCTGTCCTTTACTTCCTGGTGAACTTGGGTGGCTTTCGAGCCTGCATACACCTCGACTTGACTGTGGTTTTCATTTGTAAAATGTTGATGATCCGTGGGCCTACCTCAGAGGTTTGACGTGAATTAAATATGTTTGGTGGAGTGCGTGGACTGTAGCGAGAATGCATCACATATTTGCTCTTATCACGATTATTAACTAGAATAATGAAGAGCATAGTGTAAGAGTATTTAAGGAAGGGAAGCATACATGTAAAAAGTAAGCTACAAAATAGTATAAGAGTGTGGTTACACACACACACACACACTTTAAAAAGAAATACACCAAAATGGTAATTTTAAAACACTTGACTGGTAAGTAAAAATAAACTGGAACACAATCAAAGGAGAACAATCGTATCTCCTGAGGAGCAGCTGAAAATGAGTCTATTTGCCGTGGAGAGAAGTAGACCTGGAGGAATTTTCAAGGGGTTATTCTGGTTTTGTAGGGTTGCACCGGCAACATCTAGAATCAATGGGTGGAGGTTATATGGCATAAATTTCAGATCAGTGAGGTCAGTATCATTTGATGCTTCTCTGAGCTTTCAGAAGGAGGACTACTTTATCAAATGAGTTGTTTATGCCCTGGGCCCTGCACTGGATGAGTTACATGCATTCTCTTATTTAAAGGTTCTCTCCAACAGGAAGAGTCCTAGGGAACTGGAGACGTCGCAAAGGAATGTCGTAAGGAGAATTCAAGCCTAAAACAGTGATAAATCACAGCATCTACAACATCTTTTTAAAACTCATGGGCTTTGGCCTCCATGTTCTAGCCTCGGCAGGACAGAAGGGGGGCAAGAGCAGTATCTGGTAGGGGGTCAAGAGTCTGGGCTCATAGTGGACGCCAAGCAGAAGAGTGACCTCATGGGGACCGCGCCTGGGTTCATGTGCCAACTGGAGAGCCTGTTCCTATGGCAGGGCCATAACGTAAAGCAGCGGGTGCTTCCTTTCGGAAAGCTCACCTACAGCTCCTGCAGACCTGAACTCTTAGGAGGGAAAAAGGAAGGGAGTATAGGTTCTGGTAGTTAAAGAAACAAAATGGATTATTCTGAAACATAAGGACTTTAGAGGACATGTGGGTTCATATTTTATGTCTTTCTATTTCTTTATTCCCTTTGCTTTCTAGGCTTCAACCATATATCTTGCCCTCACATCCAAAAGCTCCAGAGTTGATATGTTTTGTTGCTGTTTGTTGCTTGTTGTCCACAGATCTTGAGGCATGGGCCACAGTACTGGGGATAAGGAAGGTGTAGGGAGAAACAGCCAGAGTAGTTCTTTCTCTCCTCTTCCCAATGGCAGGGCTGAGAAACCATTTCTCAAGCATTTTTATTGCCTGGGACAGCTTGAAAGCACTGTCATTACCTGGGCCCATTTCTCTTCTGTTTTCATGGTAATTTCTGTAAGTCACTGAGGAAGCCCACATTCTGATTGGTCCACAGATTTCCTTATTGCAATCATTTATTTGCCTACACTATAGGCTTAATTCTCCCTCTTTTGTACCAAGAGAGGTGCTAAAAATCTCATCAATATCACAATTGACTCCTAAGCTGAGGAAGAAAGTTATTTTCCTATGCGATGTGTAAAGTGATCCTCAATATAATCCCTAAAGTTGAACTTCAGAAATGTTTCGTGCTGCAGCAAAATTAGTGGAAAACATTTGCATAATCTTCCAAGAACACGTGGGTCTTGGGATGGCCACATGCATCTGACTATCTACATTCCTGCACATCTGTGGGGAGAAAAATTTTCTTTTTAAAAATATGGAGTCATACATTTGTTCTTAGGCTACTCCAAAGATGTAACAACGGGTTTTGTATTTATTTTTTCAAAATGGGTTTGACAGTCTTTCTGCCTACTGATTGTCATGGCTAATTGCTCTTTCATTTGCATGAGAAGAGAAAATGTAAGAGAGGGACTGTGATGGCCCATTACAGCGGCTTCTGGGAGTGAATGTGTATACAATAATCTACTGAATGGAGCACAGAATGAAAGCAACACATAAGAATTCAAACAGTACATTTTAATGATGGGTGCATATATATTACCAACTTGGGGGTGCAGACATGGCACCTGCTACTCTAGCTTCACTCAAAGTGTTAAATGAAAACCTCCCCAAAATTAAGTCAGTTGTCTTATGACTGACATTTAATTTTGAAAGATGTGATTTTCCTCAGTATTTCCTGTGCTCTTTATGAACCTGTTTATCAAATGTATAGAATACTTCTGTTTATGATAGCTTATGATTAATCATTCACCAAGGACACGAGTCCTTTGTACCTATTATTGTCAAGCATTTGTTTGGACTGTGTTTGACCCTTTGTACCGAAGTGGTCTGTGTTGGAACCTTTTGAAAACAGTCTACCAGGCTGAGTGTGCTCATGTCACTTACTGAAATCTCATGGCTCTGTCACTGTGACATCCTGTTACCTGGGAGAGACCAAAATTACAATTTTAGTCACAATATCAAACCCATTGTTATGCCAGGATAAACAGATTCATAACCAGTTAGTTGTAAGTATTCTAGAGTGAAATTTTAAAAAACATTTTAAGAAATGCATAGCCGTTTTGTGACCAGAGTTACATGAATAGCATGCCTCTTTGAAAAAAAAAAAGAAAAGAAAAGAAAACAAGAGCAATCTAGCGTCAGATCTGTACTCTGCTTTGTGGGACAATCAAAGTCCTTCCCAAAACACACCTCAAGGGAGTATATCCATATATCTGATTACTTAGTGACCAGAGAATCTCAGCTACCAAAACAACAGCACAGGCCAAAAGGAAGAACAGTATGAGTTACTGCTGCTTGTTTAATCATTCACTATTTGGACACCTCTTCGATGAGTAACCACCTCAGTTTTAATCTCTTCTCATTCACTCATTCAGTCAACAGACATTTACTATAAGGTTGCTATGCATGAAGTACCTTGCAAATATCAATCTGGGTGGTTGATGACCTCCAAGAATTGATAATCTAGCACTGGGCACAAACATGCCCACATTTAACCTCAAAACAAAGTTGTAAATGCACATGCCACATGTCTGATACAGATAATAAATGTTAGTAGTTCAGGGCAAGGATAGATACTTACAGTGTTCAGAAGCCATTGTGCAGAAATAAGTAGATTTGATATTAAGGAATGGCTAGTAAGATTTTCAGGCGAAAAAAAATATGCCAAGAAGAGCAAATGAAGGCAGTAACATCAGATGGTCAAGAATTAATTTAGAGAGTTTGGCTAGACAGAAGAGTTCATGAACAGGATTAGTTGGAGATTTGATTGAGAATGAAGTTGAAGGTCTCTCATTTTACTTTGAGGTATGATGAGCTGTCAAAGAATGGAGAGGGCATGCTGTGTTATGAAGCAAAACTAGAATACCTGTTTAAACTCAAGAAGGGTTAACAGACAGTTTAATACCATCATTCTCAGCAAAGTAACACAAGAAGAAAAAATCAAACACTGCATGTTCTCACTCATAAGTGGGAGTTGAACAATGAGAACACATGAACACAGGGAGGGGAGCATCATACACTGGGGCCTGTGGGGGGCTGGAGAAGGGATAGGGTTAGGAGATACACCTAATGTAAATGATGAGCTGATGGGTGCAGCAAACCAACATGGCACGTGTATACCTATGTAATAAACTTGCATGTTGTGCACATGTACCCTAGAACTTAAAGTATAATAATAAACATAAATAAATAAATAAAACATGTGATATTGACCAAAATCGCAACATTTTTATACTTGAACTTAAGAATTTCTCTATGAGAAATCTGATGTTCTCACTTGTTATGTGATCTTAGACTGTGCAAATCCACGCAAAAAAATCAATAAGAAACTCTCAAAACCTTTAAAGTAAATTAATCTGTCTTGCCATTTCTGCCCTCTCAGGTTCTGAGCACTGATTTCATCAAGCCAATGGAAGCAAAAGTAAGTATGAATCCAGTCTCCGTGTGTTGGTTATTTCAGAGAAAGTTCAATGATAATGACCTTCATGTTCTTTAAATAAGCAAATTGTCAGATGCAAATAACTATCACTCAAATCAGTACATGAAATAAGTGAAGCCTCACAATTTTTGCTTTTTGCCAAAATACACTAAAAAATGGACAGTGACCCAAATGACATTTGACATTCCTTTGACAAAGGAATCTCAATCAATAAAGGGTATGATAATATTCAGTAACGGCATTCCACTTGGCTCCCTTTACCCTCTGCAAACAATATACATTCCCAAAGTGTTATCCTATTGGGGAAAATATAATACACACAGGCAGGCACACACACACACACACACACAGAAACACACACATGTACATAGGCACATATACATAGAATACTGGGTTAATGAAGCTTATGAGAGAAAACCAATCATTATAGACTAAGGAAAAGCCCTGTGCTGTCTCAATACTTTTTTATTCCTATAAAAGTATTTTACAGTCACATGAGGTAACTAAGAACTAGGTTTCACTCCAAAATAATTACTTTTCAGGAAGCATTGTCCTCATTTTTGGTTCAGAGGATTATTACGTCGTGTCATGTCTTATTGTTAAAAGTTCTTAACATTACTGATTATAGATTTAGGTAACAAATGAATCCTTTGGGATGCATTCCGTACACAAACCAAACCACAAATATTTTTAGATATTTCATTTGTTAAGAATGCTTCAAAATTTCAATGCTTATACTGGAAATGAAGGAAGAAGCAAACTTTAGAACTAGGGAGAGGGACAGCTCTGAAATCCACATTTATATACTCTGCATTGATCCATTCATATATGTATAACTTCAGACATTCGTTCATGAAACATGTATCAAGCATCAACTGCATTCCAGAATGGGTTGTCCTTTAAAATTGTCTTAACTCAGAGTAATAGGATATTTTTTTTATTGCTGGTTGAAGGGGCTCCCCAAAAAGGCACAGCTTTAAGATGATAATGCATTTAATCCGCCCGTAACTAGCACATAGTCTATGCCCAACAAAATACAAAGGCAAATAAGAAATGTTCCCTCAGATAACTTGCTTGGCTGGATCTCATATCCAAACCAGAATCTCGTATTATGTAACTCCATAAGCTTCTGTATTTATCATCACTGGAATGTGTTTAAATAAGACCATCTGTGAAAGTATTGCAAAAACATATCTATTATCATTCTGATTCATTTATAGATGATTTTCTTCAGATGTTTGAAAACATAAAGTTTCAACACATGTGAAAAAAAATCACTTCTTACTGCTTGGTTGTCTTTGTTTATCTTAAAAATTGGTTTTATTTCATCTAAAGGCCAAACGCATCCCAAAACAACTAGTTATATAGTGATCATTTACAGAAATTAATCAGGACAAGGCTTGAATTATCTAAAAGAGCTAAGAAAGGTTTATATAGCAGTTTATTGAAATATAATTCATCTATTGTAAAATGCATCTTTAAAGGGTATAATTCAGTGATTTTTAGTTTCTTCACCTAACTCTAAAACCATTGACACTATCTTTTATCATCCCAAAATAAAGCACGTTAGCAGTCCCTCTTCACTTTCTCCAAAGCTTCCCCAAAGCCCTTGGCCTCCACTACTCAACTTTCTGTGTTTATGGATTTACCTGTTATGAACATTTCCTATAAATAGAATTATATAATATGTGGCCCATTAATACTGCCTCTTTCACTTAGCATAGTGCTTTCGAGGTTCATCTGTGTTAAGGCATGGATCAGAACCTCATTCTTTCTATAAAATGTCAAATAATATTCCATTGCACAGACATACCACATTTTGTTTATTCACCCATCTGTTGATGAACGTTTGCATTGTTTCTAATTTAGCTATTCTGAATAAAGCTGATAAGAATATTCGTGTACAAGTTTTTGTGCAGACGTAAGTTTTCAATTCTCTTGGGTCTATATTTAGGAGTAGAATTACTGGGTCTTATGTTAACTCTATGCTTGACATTTTGAGGAACTGTCAAACTGTTTTTCAATGTGGCTGCCCTAGTTTACATTCCTACCAGCAAAGTAGGAGGGTTCCAATTTCCCCACATCCTCACCAACACTTGTTTCAGAAAGATTTCTATACTGGCATGTGAATAAAGTGTCTTAATTTCTAAGAATAGAATCAATTCATTTCAAAGAATATAATAAAAGCACAATATGCCAATCTTATTTATGGGGAGATTAAAATAGTATCATTTTTCATCCTGACAGTTTCTCAAATCCCTGCACCAGGATTCTAGGAAGAGAATCTCTTGCAGCCATTGTATATTCTCCCTGTGGTACAGTAATTCTTAAACTTTCCCTGCTGCAGGAAGGAGCGTCATTTGGGGGTCTTCAGTGAACATCTCTCCTGCAGATAAAGAATATAGTGTCCAAGCTGTGAGCAATCAAGTGACATGTGTTCCTTAGGGCTGCAAGGTTGGAGAGCTTTTATTTGATTCCCATCTCATGGAGGTTATTTATGTATCCTAACTGGAATTTTGACTCTTGTTACGATTACTATGTATCTTTTATGAAGCCTATGCTCAGTCATTTGATAAATTTTATAGTGTTAATGACCAAATATTTCCCTTAGACGTATTCCTTAGGGAAAATTAAGATGCATAGCATGCTTCAAGATGATGGCCAAGAAAAACCAACTCAACGAGCCTTCAAGAATTCATGATTTGAATATCATGTTCAAGGTAGGCACCTTTTTAAAGTTAGGACAATTATTAATGATTCACGAATACTTGAAATTCTATCAAAAGTCTATGATATGAGAATTTACAGTGTGCTTTGGGGAAAGAACTCAGCCTTACTCATTCTAGAGCTAGTGTAAGTGAACAACCACAAAATGTAATAACTTTAGACACGAGTATGTGTGAATGCATGTTGCATCTTAGGAGCTTAGGTTGAGTCCTAGGTAAGTTATGTTGGCATGCATACATCGCACACTGCTGTTTGAAGCTGTTAAATCACACACACATTCTCATGTTATTGGACTAAACCATCCATAATTCTTACTCCCAGCACACTGCTGTCATGAAGTGCTTGGCAGGTCCTGGAGTGGTTAGTCCCTCAAAATGTACTCTGGGTATTGAGTCGATGTCATGAACCGTTGTTGATGGATTTTATTTGATGGACAGAATAAGAGGCAAATAGAAGTAGGTTTTATTCTATCTCTAGAGACCTCCAGTCTCTTCTGCTTTTAGCATGAGGACATTGTTGCTAGTCTCGGCTTCCAAGATCTTCACAATATATGGCCAAGATCTTTACAGTACTGGCCAACATCTTTACAGTAGATGCAATGAAACTAGCAATGTACTTTCTTACTTGCTAAGGGCACTATAGATCACCACTCTGTCTGGTTGTGAGATCACAACAATAATCACCACATTGCCTCAAGTACACCGTTAAAACTTGGAGAATGCTTAGACATGGCTTCAACTTGTCCAGGATGCCTTCTAGATACAAATCAAATCAAGAAAGGCCATGTGTCCCTGCTCTGTGAAGGTTCCAGGTGGAATTGCCTGCCCCACTCCACCTTTAAGATTTCCAGGACAGTGTCTTCACTTCCTTCAGTGCCCCCCTGTTTACATGTCCATCTCTCTCTTTAGAAGGTGAGCTGGAGAGGAAGTATCAGGTCTCGATCATCTTTATATCCCGAGGGCTTACCGTGCAATAGGTAAATGATAAATGTGTAACTGTGGATCACCATCATCCCCAAATTCCTTGCAAAAGAAAAATTCTGTTTACACTTTCACTGCAATGCATCATCAACTTTGTTAGTTTTTTATGCAGATGATAATAGTATGCCCTTCATAAGACTGTTTGTTTAGAGGGATAAATTGTGTGTGTGTGTGTGTGTGTGTGTGTGTAAACTGCCTGGCACTTAATGAATATTAATAATTGCTTTTAGTTCAAGAAAATAATCTATGTAGATTAATGATGGTTCTACTAAATTTGTCAAATGGAGTTCCCTAATATTACATAGAAAGTGTTAAAAATTCAGACATATTTACCTTGCACATAAGCTCAAATGATTTTAATTTAAGCTGAACAGTTAGCTTATAAAAATAAATTATTAATTTAGTTAGTAATCAAAGTTCAAACAAATCCATAATCATGAAGAGTCTAATCATTTGTTTTTGTTCTTCGTAGCTACAGACATCAGCAAACTTGAGAGAAGAAGGTTTGCTCTGGGAGATTCCACATATGACCCGTTTATATGTAATTATATTATCTATTACTCAAGTATTTGTCTTGTGCTGTCTAAATTATAAGCTTCTCAACTGTTTGCCTTGAGTGAGATGTGCGTGCTAAAGCCTCTCAATAAATATTAATTGAATGAGTAATTGAAAAAAAACCCTGACTGCCTTTTTACTTAAATCCAAGCCTTTGCTAAGTTTTCACTTTTTCTTGATCACACAATCACTTACAATTCACAAATGAAAAAGTATGATAAATGGTGAATCACTTTTCATTTTAAATTCCACTTTAAATTTTGTTCCTAGCACAAACATCACAGATTTTATATGGTTTATGTATTTAACTTTCAACTCAATCTAGAAAGTGATCTTAGCAAATCCCTGAGTTTCCCTTTCCAGGACTCTCTAATTCTGTCTGTTCATTTAACCCGGTTTGATTGGAATCATGCATTCTTCCCTCTGCCTGACTCAGGTGACCAGTGAGGTGACCAGTGGTTATGAATGGGAGAGTAGATGACGCTCCATTCTGGGGAGATTTGACTTAGTGCCCTTTTTTTTTTTTTTTTTTTAAGATCTAGTTCAAAAGTAGTCAAGTAGAAAAATGGGTGCATTCTTGCTTCCAAACTACTGACATTCATGATTGAACTCTGTAGCTTAAATCACTTAAATCTGTAGCTTAAAAGACTTAAATCACTGTTGGGGCTACAAAGAAAGAAAACAGAGGATTGGCCAGGGCAAAGCCACGCATTGGTTTCTGCCACCCACGGGCACCTCAGGGTCGAAATCTACACTTATGAGCCCCACTCAAGGGCCATTTCCTCCTTGATAGAAACTCTGTTTCTCTATCTGGCTGGTTATAATGATGTTGTGAGCACAGATCGAGACCTCCACTTAAATAAAAACAAATCTACATGTGGAGAGGTCTTATTAAAAAAATGAACTCAAAACTTCAAAAATGAATATATTTCTCTAGCCAATTTTATATTTGATAAGAGGATTAATCAAATTTGGCATAATGAGAACATTTATGATGCGGGAACATTTCAAAACAAGTGTGTTTTGTTTATTTTCTTTTGAAACGGAAGAAAATCTAGGAAAAGGTGGCTAGTTGCTGAATCCCACAAATGAAGGGAGAATAGAGATTTTCTTTTGAAGACAGAGGAAGAGAAGTGATTTTTTTATTAGCATACTTTGAAAACAACTTGAAACTGGAAGTGTTTTTCATGCTTTTAGCAGGTCCAGGCCCAAAGTAAACAATTCTAATGAAATAGTACAGGACATAGTATAGTGGATATATGACATGTTTCACGGGTGAAGCATTCAGGAAAACAGTTTAATGTATCATTTTGCTACAGGTTCTCCGGCAGTCGACAGCCCTCCCCATCTCCATCCCTGCACCATCCCCGCACACTATTTATGTATTTTCATTTGCATGAACCTACTCTGAGGTTTTGCCTGGTTGATTTTTCAAGTTAATGACAGGGCACTTGGGGAAAGATTAATGTTAGGAATGCGGAGGTTCAGCAAATTGTTGAAGAGTTTCACCATACAATTAATCTCTCTTTGCCACATTACAAAAGTGCAAGGGATGGATGCAGGGAAGTGGTAATGATGCTGCTATCACAGGTCTCTAAGAGCCGGGGGAGTCAGCTATAAAGATGATGGGAAGACGACTTTCTGCTCTCAGAAGGATTTATATATCATCCCCTGTCCCCTGTGCCATCCATCCTTGCCAAGTGAACGTGGTACCCCTTTGCTGTTTCCCATTCAGCTGTCACTGACTGGATGAGAGTCCTCTAAGGAGCACTACAGAGAGCAGAGACCATCTCAGTTAAGACGACCGCCAAGCCCCCCAGTCCATGGATGCCCCTAATATCATCTCTTTATTTCCAGCTTTCTCATCATTTTGTTGCTGACAATTCCATTTCTGCAATGTGCTCTGTGAATTAAGTACCTCTGCCCTCCAAGGCAGTATTTTGTCAGAGACGAGGGTGATGTTCAAAATAGTTAACTGGTATGTCCCAGAAACGGATCTATGAGAAAGGACACAGTTTCCAGCTAAATCCTTCTTAATCTCTTAGTTACTGGGTCTTCAGGTTCTGGAGTGCCTAGAGAGGAAGAGGGATGCTGAGACCGCGGAAGTTGGGAGAACGCCAGGTACTTGGGGCCGTGCTAAAAGTGCTTCAATACTGCATCAGCCTTGGAAGTAGCAAAATCTGTTGTTGGTCTTCTCTGCTTCTCTTTTCCAGCCTCTCAACTGAGCATATCCAGCTCCGGACCTTGAGGCATCTCAGTAAAATGTTAACCCAGATACGTCCCCTCTCCTGGAATAGGCTTGACAGAGACTGGTCACGACGTCCTCCTTCCCCCAGCCCAGAGGACTGGGAGGTCTCTTGCTCACTGGGTCCCCTGAACAAGGAAGGCAGTGCTCCCTCAAATCACAGAAGCTTTCCATCCCCAGCCGTGCCCAGCCAGCACCCTCACTGCTTCAGATGTGCCATGGGCTGTGGGCTGGCAGCTTGAAGACGTGCCTTGGGATTATCAAGCCCAAATATGCACATTGCTTTCTGAAAGGAGAACATCAACAATTTTTCCCCTCTAACTCCAGATACATAGTAATTCTGGAAGAAAAGTGTCACATTCAGAGGGGAAGCCACCTTGTTCTCAGGATGGGCAGGAGCTGAGTGGGGCTGAGTCCCTGGGGAAGGTATTGCCACACCAACCCTCTCAAGAGGAGCAGATCACAGCTGACAGGGCACGAGAAGCAGGGGACCTGGACCCCCGGAAGTACGGCGGGATCCAGGGAGAAGGAACTTAAAGATAGCTGGAGCTTCCTCTTAAAAACGGGGCTTCTCACTCTCTATGACAGGCAGAGAGATCTGTTATAAACATTTGGACAGTGGCTTTCAAGCACAGTTTTTGAACAGTACACCTCCTCTCATATGAATTTGAGGACTGCCTCTATCACTAAGGGTGGACCTTCAAGATTTTGAGCAGCTATCAGACTTGATTTCTTTAAATCCCTTTGTCATCCCATCTGAGATTTTGGTGAGACAAATATCTGACTCTGTGAGTCTTTTTGCGCTGCTACAACAAAACACCAGAGGCTGGGTAATTTATGAGTAATAAAAATCTACGTCATGGTTCTGGAGGCTGGAAAATCTGAGATCAAGGCACCTGCAGGTTTGTAGCTGGTAAGGACTCACTTCTGCCTCCAAGATGGCGCCGTGAACTCTGTGTCCTGACATGGCCAAAAGGATGCAAGGGCAGAGATGGTCCTGAGCTAGCTCCCTCCAGTCTTCATGACTTAATCACTTCCCCAAAAGGCCCCATCTCCTAATACCACCACTCTGGGGATTAAGTTTCAATGGGAATTTTGGTGGGGACACCATCATTCAAACCATAGTAGACGCAAACAAACAAAACTTACAGACTCGTGCTGGACTGTGACTAGTTCAGATGTCCTTGGTCTCATTTATAACTTCATATATGTGTGAGGATCTTAGTTCTGGGACGAAATCCCACTGTGAACTCTACCGCCATGCCAGGACCCCAGTGAGCCGGCAGCCCCTCCCAGTGCCTCTCCGCCAGACCACCCAGCTCTGCACAGGTGGATGGCCTGACACGGCATGTGGCATCAGTCAATGTGTGTGTTTATGTCTGTGCCTGCATGTTTAAATCTCAGGCTTGAGAGCTTGGAGGATCCCTGGGAGGGCCTTTCACTCCATTCCTCTACCTGCACAGCCCAGAAAGAAATCTATTTAGAAAATTCAAAAACCTCTTTGTTGATGCAAGGAAGAAAAAGACATAACTTCTCTTACTTTATCCTCTCCTCATCTTTGTGGTTGAGAGGTGATTCATTCATTATTCCACCCTTGGGGTGCGGAGCGTGCCTTACGCAGAGGCCTCGGCCACACCCCAGTCGAAGAAGAGAGGGTCAGACACAGCGTAGCTATGGCCATTATCTTTTCCACAAAAACACTCCTGTTAGAGTCTCAGGGTGGAAGTATCTTCAGTGCGTTTTTGTTTTTATTTGCTGCCAAGGCTATAAGTCAATATTGTCACGGTGGTGTGGTCAGAAGCCCCAACTCCACCCGTCCCATGTCTCATAGCTATATAGACTTGGAAGCTGGAAAGCTTTCGACGGATCCTCACAGCTACTCAGAGGATTGGCCTTAGCATCCTACAGAGGTGGCGTCAAGGTCCCAGACCAGCAGGCACATTGTTTTCAACTGTACAGCTTGTGAGCTACCTTTCTCTTGGTTCCCATGACAACTTCTGTGGCAAGGAAAAGTGAGAAACTATAGCTGACCCTTCAATAACAGGGTTGACTCACATGTGAATTTTCCTCCGTGAATGCCACCCCTGAAACAACAAGACCTCTTCCCGCTCCTCAGCCTGCTCCCCACGAAGAAGATGAGAATGGAGACCTTTACGATGACGCACTTCCACTGAATAAGTGGTAAATGTATTTTCTCTTCCTTATGGTTTTCATGGTAACATTTTTTTTCTCTAGGTTACTTTATTGTAAGAATACAGTATATAATACATGTAATAAATACAAATATGTGTAATCAACTCTTTATGCTATCAGTGTGACTTCTGGTGAACAGTAGGCTGCTGCTCACAGTTTTGGGGGAGTCAAAACTCTACTTAGATTTTCTACTGTGTGGAGGTCAGTGCCCCAACCCCTGTGTTGTTCCAAGGTTAACTGCACTGTCCATTACAAAAATGAGGTCCTGTCACTTTTCGCCTCTAAAACTCACTCAATATTTAGGGTGCTAAGTACATCTTTCTAAGCAGTGTAAAAAGATGAAGGGCCCTTCCATTAACCCATGTGCTGGGAATCTCAGTTTCTTCCTCCTCAGCCACACTTCCTGCTGAAGTACAGCTCTGTCCTTAACAGTCCTGGAGAAAGGGCCCTCCCCTATGAAGCTGCCCCTCCCTGCCTGCTGCCAGCCACAGCTGATTGCATCCTGTGTTGAAATACAGAGGCTGAGGCCATGAGAGCTGTGAAGTCAGAGATCATCCTCATTGTTGGTGGATTCCTTATCTGCCAATCTTCAGACTCCCTGCATTTGCTTGGAGCCCCAACATCAATACCCTTAGTGCTTTCCTGACCCTATGAGGGTGCGCACAGAGCAACAAAACATTTAGCCACTGGCTGCTCATGATCTCACCTGAGGTCAAACAGAGCAACACCCTGGCTTCTTGTTTCATTGGTCATCCTATATAAATAAGTGCCTTTTGCTTTTACAGTCCATTTCATACCACATTTTTTGCATTTTTGTGCTGTGTGTTGGTGATTTCGCTGTTTAGAACGGCCACCAAGTGTAGTAATGAAGTGCTGTCTAATGTTCCTGCATTCAGGAAGGCAGTGATGTGGCTGATGGAGAATGGATATGAGTTAGAGGAGCTTGGTTCAAGAGTGAGTGACAGCTCTGCTGGCTGTGAGCTCAGTACTTATGAATCAGTGAATATGTATTAAATATGGTGTTGTGAAACAGAAACACACATAAAGCAAGTTTATTACTTACCAGGTAATGAAAATCTTGTGACTGGAGGTTCACAGGAAGGTACCCTTCTATTTTCACTGGAAGCAGTGATTTAGTATTCAGTAATTTAGAATTCCTGGCAACTTTATAGAAGATAACTACTGTGAGGAATGAGAATCAACTAGAAACTGGTCAAGCCAGGTAGAAGCAAGGAATCCTGACCCACAGAGAGGGCTAGAGTCTAGATGTTTACGCTCAGAATCCTGACCCGCAGAGTCTAGAGTCTAGATGTTTACACTCACAGATGACTGGAGGTGAGAGCCTTGGAGGCGGGGGAGCCACGGCATGGACAGAAACACTTCCGGATCACCTTCCTGTTCCCATGCTGCCCCACTGGGCCTCCCGCAGCAGTTCCTGTGAGATTCCACATCTAAGGGCACATCCGCATGGACTCTAGCAAGCATGGCTGCTTCTCTGCTCCTTGGACCTACATGTCTGTTGACTAGAACCACCCCGACATTACTACTAAACACCTCCTAAGATCTCCAACTTCAACTACGAATAAAATGCAAATATCTATCAGAAATAACAGTTATTCTCATCCTTAGCACTAATAAAATGGGAGAGAAATTAAGCAGATTAAGTTTAGATCCTGATCAATGATGTAACCACCTTTTCCCTATCCTCTTGAATTTCTAGTTACCTTGAATTTCCTTTGAATAACTTCTACTTTTTCTTTTTTGTAAAACAAAAAGCCAGGGGGCGGGGGAGGGCGGGGGTTAGAAAGCATTTAAAGTTTCTCTATAGCCTTCTACTAAAGAAATATCTTCTCTCTCTCATGCTTGATCTTGGTGAAAGAACTGACCAAGTTGACCTTTCTCAGGCAGGGCATGTTGATTCAAAGAGTCAAAGGTCACCCAACATCAGAGCTAATCGATAGCCTTTTGATTCCGTGGTTTTACAAGAAATATAAACTTAATCAGCTTTGCAAAGCTATTTTCATTTCCTTGCTCTTCAGGATAATTTGTGCCTAGTGCTAAAGATCAAAGTAAAGCAGAAAAGATCCAGAAAATCTAACATGCTTCCTTATTTATTTACCTGCTTTGATTAAAGAAGCAATAATTACTACAATTTATAGAACGACCACGCTGTGCCAACTACTTCACATACATTGTTGATAATGCGCTTGACAATCTTGCAAGGTTGTTGTCATGAACACCAATTTAGTCAGAAAAGAACAGGTTTCACACAAATTAGATGATGGACGAACGTCACACAGAGGCAAAGCTGGGATTAAAACACATATCTGTTTAACTTCAGTCGTAGTGTTTTCACCTGTGTCCATTCATGGAGAAGAGGAATCAAGAACGTGCAGGGGCGTCATTTCCACAAACCGAAACAACAGACATGATGTGTCACACAGGCCCACCAAGGGTTCCCAACCCAACCTTGTAGACTGGCACAGAAAACAGCACACTGGTCTGCCCATTCTCAATGACATTCATCATCCCAATGACATGGATGTCTTCACCCTAATAGCCGGAGGGCCAAATCCTAAGCCTTGGCACCATTGGGCTGTGACTGGCCTGACCTGAGCCCAGTCCCAAAAGGCATCCGTGTCGCTCACCAGCTCTCTCCCCTCTCTGGAAGATGATTTCATTTCCAAAAGGCAGTTGCTTTTATGGACATGAAAGGAGGAATCTGAAACATCCAGTTTTACAATCTCTAACTTGTAGTTGGCTGAATTGTAGTAAATAGGGGCAAATCTTACTTGTTTTTAAGAATAAATATGTTATACATTATACACACTCAAAAGCACATGGCTCAAATTATGTGCAAAGTACATGCAGGAGAGCACATGCAGCTGGAAATATTTGACCCCACAGTGAATTTAGCATATTTGGTTCAGAGCACTTCTGTTACAAATACATAAAGTGTTTATGTAACCCATTGATTGCTATTATGGCACCAATAAAACCCAACAAATGGCAGAATTTTTTATACAAACGAGCTGATGTTCATGCATCACATCTTTATCCATGGTATCCCTTCAGTCCGGTGTTTTTGGAAGTTCTTCTCTGCCTTTAGTTTCAGGAATTGCATGTGTGTTTTGTGATCAGTGTGAAAATGAGAAAAACTAAATGATATCATTCTCTTAGGGAAAAAAAATCAAATGAGAGTAAATCTATACATGTAAGTTCTAACTAAAACCTATTCAAATTTTGTCAAATTTGACTTTGAACTACAGTCACACATGTGTAAAAATGGTTCTTACAAAGCAATGTGACTAGGTACCCTTACTCACTTCTGCCATCAAACAGACATCAGGTCCAGAGCCTTCTCTGCTCTGTCTTCAGAAACTGTCAACACCTGTACTCTTCATAAGACTCGGGCCAGGTAGGCAAGCCACGTGCTTCCTGCACTCAGATTCCTTTGTCGCCCAGAATCTTAGGGACTTCCTCAGCGTCCCCAGATAGTCACTTCACTCTGTCCTTCATCTTTCAACAAAATACAATGTCGTAAAGCAATTGTGCCAATAGTTTTCTAGAATTGCTCTGACTGCAATTTGAGCTTTAGTCTCTAAACTTGATATTGCAAAACCTCCCTTACTGATACAGCTCAACCCTCTATTCTTAACTGTCCACAACAATTTCTACTGCCCTTAGGCAATAAAGAGCTGTTTTACATGAAAAGTACTCAAAGTTCCTACCCTGAAGATAGTAACTGCTATGGGCCTGTACTGCTTACCACCTACCATTCAAGCTGGAAAAGATTGTGGCCACTTTTTCCCCCCAACACTCTCTTTTTGATTTTTATTTCTAGAATGGCCATTTAAAAAAAAAACAAAAAAACAAAAACTTATTTTAGATTCAGGGCTACATGTGAAAGTTTGTTATATAGATAAACTTGTGTTATGGGTGGGGTTGTTGTACAGATTATTTTGTCCCCCTGGTACTAAGCTTAGTACCAAATAGTTATTTTTTCTGCTCCTCTCCCTCCTCCTCCCACCCTCTACCCTCAGGTTGGCCCCCATGTCTGTCGTTCCCCTCTTTGTGTCCATGTGTTCTCATCATTTAGCTCTCACATATAAGTGAGAACATGGGATATTTTGTTTTCTGTTTCTGCATTAGTTTGCTAAGGATAATGACCTCCAGCTTCATCCGTGTTCCTGCAAAGGACATGATCTCATTCTTTTTAATGGCTGCATAGTATTCCATGATATATATGTCCACATTTTCTTTAGGCAGTCTACCACTGATGGGTATTTAAGTGGATTTCACGTATTTGCTCTTGCAAATAGAACTGGAGGCATCCCCCTAAATCTCTCCTATCATCTGTCAGGAAAGGGGTGGATGCACACATACATCTTGGGGTGCTCTGTCCCCAGGATGAGGGCAGCAGAGCTGGCTACACAGAAACATTCCCTCCATTCTGTGACTTCCTCCCCTCGACTGTTAAGGCTGAGGGCCACCCATAACCCACGCACATTCATGTGTTTTGGCTCACGTGATTGTGTAAATTACAATATTTGAACCGTTCCCAAATTCTACAAAGGAGAGAAAGTGTGAAAAATTATGGCTGCAAAATAAGTAAGTAGTTTGAAGCAAACCCTACGTATTTCTCTGGTTTTACGTAGGCAGATAAAATATGGTGGTTCTTTATAAACCTTGCTAAATTGGAAGGGTTTGAGAGACCTCAAAAAAAGCTATGGACAAAGTTAGCTCTGCCAAAACGGAATTTTCAATTCCAGGAAAACTGAGGATTTTTAAGATTGAAATTATGATTGAATCATTGCTCTTCAATTCACACATTTATTTGTTTTAGCTTCATTTGTGAAATACAATACCATCTTCCTACTTAATGGCATTATAAAATCATCAGTGAAACCTGGCAAATTTGAATTATCTGTGCACAACTTGTATCTCCAGTAAATAATGGAGGAAGGAGATGTGGAATTCTGAAAGCATCCATAGGATAATGGAACCAGAAACCATAATCACTAGATGTTTGTGAGGCACAAATCACCCCATAGACAACTTGATTGCTTTTTTGATGGAATTGCAAGATTTACAGATGAAAGCAAGGTAGTTGATGTAATACATTAGAATGATGATTGTAATACACTTGATACAGTGTTGCACAAAATCCCACTTGCAAAACACATTTGTGTACATTAGGACTGTCACCAGAACAAAAACTGAGGACTGACTGCCAATGAATGAGTCGGAACAGGATAATACTGTCTCCTTTGTCCATACATTAAACCCTGACTTATAACAACAAAAACAAATGGCCTCTGATACAGAGTTTAAAACTGTTTTAAAACAAACAGTAGTTAAAAGATTATAATACATGTTGACCTTGTTGAATATCTGAGATTTTCAACAGTTGTACAAAAAAGACTGCTGGACTATGAATCAACGTAGCTTTATGAGCAAAAACTAAAAGCTGGGATATAAAGAAGTGTAGTGCACTCTGCCCAAGCTCTGAAGCAGGAGGGTGTAACTGATGTACTGGAGGCGTTCACTAAAAAGTAACTCACTGTAAAATGTGCTGCATGCTAAGGACATAGAGAGTTGCAGAGGAAGAAGTAACAGGACTTAGAGGCAGGGAGGGATGTAGGAAAGAAGTCATATTGTGAGCCCGTCATCTATGGACAGATCCAAGTTGCTGTGAATGTGTATGATGGGTGGAAGGTGGCTTCAGAGATCCCTTCCCCATGCAATACACACCCTTTTTATAACGTGCTCATGCAAGTAAATTTTAAACACAAAAGCAAACAAGAACAACATACTGAGAATAGAAATCAAAAGGTACAGCACTTCCTAACAGTGACATCTGCTACTGAAGAAAAGAGAACAATGCATTTAAAATTCAGACAGAGAATAATCTTCAATTTAGAATTCTAAAATTAGTCAACATATCAAGTACAAGGGAAGAATAATGACATCTGAAGACATGTGAGGGCCTGGGGATGGAATTCAACACAAATGTAATGGGAAAAAAAAAAGGAAAGAAAGACATTTTTCTCCAGCTAAAATGGTGATATAAGAAAGGAAATATAATTGCAGTATGCCACCTGGCTCTGCAAGGGATAATGGAAATGCACATATGTGCCCGTGTTCCTGATCTATTAACACTGTGATAGAATGTGTTGGCGAGGATGTAATAGAGAAGGTGAGGTGTTGCTTATTGGAGCTCGTTCATGATAGAAGAAAGAAAACAGGTCATGCCTAAGTTAATAAATGATGAGTCGAGATTAGAAATACATGGAAGAGGTTAAAAAAAAAAAAAAAGGAAACATCCACAAGAGTGAAAAGTGATTGGCCCTAGCAAGTGGGATCAAGGCCTGGGGAGTGTTGGCCTGGGGGTTGCTGGGTTTTGTCATATGCCTTCTTTCTCTTTGATTCTATTTAAACATGCACATATTACCTGGGTAAAAATAAGTATTTAAAACCAACATCATAGCATACCTCAGAAAGCAAACAGAGAGGGAGAGAGGAAGAGAGGGAGAGAGGAAGAGAGTGAGAGGAAGAGACAGAGAGAGACAGAGGGAAAGCCATGAGAAAAACACCTGTGGCCGAGGATGTGTGTGTGTAGAGGGCATTGCTGAATGAAGGGGTTCAGCCACGTGGGCCTGGACACAATACAGCATCTCCAGCGTGTGAAGCCCAGATCCAGCCCTCGGACCAGTTGATTCTGATAGACACCAAAGGGGGAACCAACCAGACCTTTAAGCTTTGGATCCTGGACTGCTGGGAAAATACTGGTGTCTGGGTTATTTTTTCCTGTTTTTTTGTTTTGTTTTGTTTTGTTTTGTTTTGTTTTCCTAGACATAATACCTCTCATGAGCTACTAGTGAAAACAAAAAATAATTGTCATCATGTCACATGCATTGAGTGCTTACTGCATTCCAGATGATGATCTGAGCACTTTACATAAATTCATCCGCTCAGTCATTCCAGCCAACCCCGGAGTGGGTTCTGCAGTCGTGCCCAGCATCATGGAAGCTGGCGGCCCCCACACGGGGTTGGCGCACTCAACACCCCCCTACACACAGCTGACTGCTAATAACTCAGAGATATTCCCTTCTCCCGAGTCGCCCTAGACAAAATAAAAACACTTTTCCTGGGAGGCTATTTCCACACCTCCTGGCCCCCACGAGAGGCAGCTGACAACCTGCAGCCTACTAACACTGGGGCACAAAGGTCAGTCTGTGCCACAAGCTGGGATCAACTTTGTACGGCGATTGTTCTCCAGAGCTCCCATGGAACCAGGCAGAACGTAGACTCCAGCTGAGACCATGCTTTCACCAGGATGGTCTCGCATCCCTCCCTCCCTTTCTCCTGAGAACATTCCTCAGTGGACCAAACCCATCTCAGGCTCTGCTTCCACAGAACTTGACTTAAAAAGGAGTTTACAGATGAGGAAATCGAGGCACAGAAAAGCCCAATGACTTAACTCTTATGGCCATAACTCTTATGTGGCAGAGACAGAATGGAACCCAGGCTGTCTTGTGGGAGTCCCACCCAAGAGCTGCTGGAAGCCCCATGAGAATGAGGCCACACAGCAGAGGGCAGAGGTGGGGAGTGCAGTGGGGTTCCTGTCCATGTCCCACGTACCATGAGGACCCTACTGCTTCCCACCCCTCAGGTGGGCCAATGACACCCAGCCCTAAACTGTCACTTGCCAGTTGCTCCAACTGGGTTTCCCTCACTTGTGACAAAGAATCCTAACACAGGATCCTTGGCATAAACAGGAAAGTTCAGGGGAGACCATTATCTCATTTTAGAGAAAAGATAATGAGTTTGTTCTTAGACGCATTTAGGTAGAGATGCCCAAGGAATGTATAAATCTGTAGACAGCCCTTTGCTAAGAGAGAGAAGAATTGATGATGTGGTCAGGGAATTAAATCGTAGGATGGATACTGATGCTTTGTCCTGAACTGAAGATGCAGGAGGGAGGATTCCTGGAGAGTCGTTCCAGCTCTGAAATTTACTAGGCTCACCAGATTGGATCAATAAAAGTAGAGGATTCTCAGTTAAACATGAATTTTCTCTAAATAGTGAATAATTGAAGCATAAGTATATCCCATGCAATATTTGGGATCAACTACACTAAATTTTTTTCATATTTTCTCTAAATTTAAAATTTCACTGGGTGTTCTGTGTTTTTTTTAAACACTGTTAGGCACCTTTGTAAGCTAAATAGTCATTGAATTCTGCGGCCACTAGATACCATTGTTCTTTTTACCCTTTTTAAAAGAAAAAATGCATTTCTAAAATGCTAAGTGCCTACAAAATGAATGCAAAATATATATAGCTTATGAATAACCACAATGAGATGATCATTCTTATACCCACTGCCTACTAGTTTAAGAAAATGCATATTCACCATAAAATATTTATTGACTCTTCCCACAAAATCAAACACCATCTTAAATTGCCTACTTAGCAGTCCCTTGGATTAGTTGTGCAATTTACCATCCATATGTAATACTACATAAAACATATATACAGTATAAGGAATTGTGCAGAAAAATCTATATAGCTACCATCCAGGCCAAGAATTTGTTCCTTGTCAGACCCCAGAAGTTCCCATGAATTCTTCCTCCATTGTATTCAGCTCCTTCCTCCTAGAGAAAACCACTATCTAGACTCCTTGTGAAAATCATTTTTTTGTTTTATCATCCTCATCTACATTCCTAAGCAAGATAATTTAAGTTTACCTGTTCCTGAAATTTATATATAAATTTATAATTTATAGAAATTTATATAAAATTTATATAAAATTCATACATAAATTTATATAAAAACACCTAAAAGTGTGTTTTCTGTATTAATGTGGTGGGAATGCCACACCAAATAC